GTCTGTAAACACTGCAAACAAAATCAATCAGCTTCGAGACTGGAAACAAACACCGCCGCGTCGAGCGCTATCCACTCGTCGCACGCTGTAAACAAAGCCTCGTCTTTGTGCTGCGAGCGCGCGACGACGACGGGTCAGTGTGGAAACGAGAGTCGCGGCGCTGAACAACGAGCTGAACTCCGTCCTGCTGACAGATGGCGTGAAGCGTTCGGGGTGTCTGCAGCAGACTGTCGGCGTTCACATGAGCCGCCTCCACTCTGATCGGCTGTTAACACAGCTTAACCTCTCCAAGTTACCATGGAGACAACTACGCTTTAATTAGAAACATTTTCAATTAGAGCGCACGCACAAACGTACATGCCTACACGCACTGTGTGCCTGTCTACACACACGCACACAAGTGTTGATATTCATAGAGGCGCCTTCTGAAACGTCTTGTTCTGGACACAGATGCTCCGTCTGCACCTGAGCTGCAGTTTAACATTCACAAATGATTTCAAGCCTCTGTAGAAGCTTCAAAAGTGCAACTGTTTGTTGCAATTACTGAAACAATAGTCTATGCATTTGATTCTTCTAGGCTGAAATACTACAACTCCTCATCAGCAGGCCTTTCTAAAGCTCCCTGAAAGATTCCAGTTGATCAGAAAGGCCACGGTCTGAGTACTGACAGGAACCAGAAGGAGAGATCATATTTCTCCTGCATTAGCTCATCTTTATTGGCTTCCTGTTAGATCCAGAATTTAATTTACAATACTTCTTCTCACATACAAAGTCATGAATGATCAAGCGCCACCATCTCACATCACATCACTCTCAGACTGCAGCCTTGCCTGTGCTCTGTGGATGGAGGCGGAGCCTTCAGTCGTTCCTGTAGATTTGGGAGACGACGTTCTCTCGACTTTTCAGAAACAGGCTTCAAACTTTCCTTTTTGATAAAGCTTTTAGGCAGGGCTGGATCAGCTGACCCTCAACCATCCCTTAGTCATGCTCATGGCCCAAGAAACACTTAGCACTTTTCTCCACATCCACTCTCCATGGAGATTATATCCCACTACTTGTGCCTTTTCTCTCCTGTAGTTTATATTTTGTTATCAGCTTTCTATCCCTTTTGTTCCTGTTTCCCCCCCTCACCGCTTGACTGATCATAGTACATGGCTGCCCACCCCTGAGCCTGGTTCTGCTGGGGAGTTCTTCCTTCCCAGGGCCGTGCTCATAGAGGTTTTGACTGATGGGGTCTTCTCTCCTATATTGGAGTTCAGGCTTCTTAATCTAACTAAAGCACCTTGACATGACTGCTGTTGTGAATTGGAGCTTTACTATTAGAGGTGGGAATCACCA